AATGGAAGTCCTAAAAAAAAGTTGGCAAGTTTTTGACTTGCCTTTCTGATTGTGGGGAATAGAACTGGGAATATTAGTATAGTAAGGATGTCTTCTTATGCCATTAGCAGTATGTACTAAGTAACTGAACACAGGGGTAATCTCCCATTTACTTTTCATCATCTTTTTGCATTAGTTTTATATTGTATTCTTCTTCCTACGTCATTTTTGCAGGTTAGTGACAAAGACCTGTATGATGTCCTATCCACTTATGTTCCGGTGATAAATGCATTTACAGTCAAGGACAAGATTACCAAAAGAAATAAAGGCTTTGGCTTTGCAACAGTTAGAACAAAAGAAGATGCAGATACGTAAGTAGTTTTATTTTTGTTGTGAGGGGTTTTGATCTTGTTCATACATTCCCTTTACCCTGTCTTCTTTATTGACTGTTTGAGTATAGCCTGCCATGTTAATGTGGTGGTGGTAGTGATACTTGAAACCAAACTAGGACACCAAGATAAAGTTTGAAGAATGAAAACACACACACACACACACACACACACACACACACACACACACACACACACACACACACACACACACACACACACACACACACACACACACACACACACACACACACACACACACACACACACACACACACACACACACACACACACACACACACACACACACACACACACACGCACGCACGCACGCACGCACGCACGCGCACACACACACACACACAAACACACCACACACACACACACACACACACACCACACACACACACACCACACACACACCACACACACACACACACCATATATATAGTTTGAGGAAAGTATATTTTATTTTCCAAAATTTCAGGCTTCTGAATTTGAAGGCAAGTGAACTTTATCTATATGGCTTTAAAATGAAGATCAGACCAGCTTGGAAAAAGATTAGGATGCCAGGCGATGAGAACTATGTGCGACACACCCTCTCTGATCGGGACTTCGACTTGAGTCCTCCAAACCCAGATGCCCCGTCAATACATGTATTAGTAGATGATGTATTAATTCACGTACTGGAGTATCTACAACTGACAGAAATTATTGCATGTGAGAGAGGTTAGTTTTGACAGTTTATGTTTAATCTATTTTGATCCGTAGCTGATTTTTAATATGTCATTTTTTTGCCCTCATGAATTTTAGGGGGAAATTCACAAAACTAAGATCATAGTATACAAGTTTATTAAAATAGAGATATTGACTATGTGGTGGAGGATTTCAAGATTTATATAGTTCATGTGGACTTACTTATTACCTCTTTTTGGACAGTGTGTCGACGTTGGCAGATGCTAATTTATGGAATGTTTGCAAAATCATCCCTGGAGTTGTCACCAGGAAAACTAAATTTGTTTGGCCCACTTACGCGCTCCGTTGTATCAAAGCTCTTGATCCTGTCAGGATCCCAGTTAAAAGAGCTAAGGGTGAAAAATGTTGACTACACAACAAGGAGTAATATTCTAAAAGTAGTAGGTAAGTGCTATTATTAGGGCATTAATGGATGCTGATATTTATTTATCTTGATCCTCGTTATTTGGTGAAGTAATGAAGTTTTGATGTGGAGAGTTGAGAGTAATAATTCAGTGAGTAAAATTTTAACAAGAAAAAAAAATTCTATTTCAAAATTGAAACCAGGATCAAATGTACTAGTTGACCCAGGTATTGGTGACCTGTATTTATGAAGAATACAACATAAGGGAGTACTAAACTGTGCTAGAAAAGTAAAGGTATGTGAAATTAGTCCACTTGAGAATAAAGTTATGTAAGGGAAATGGAATACAAATATCTGCCAAATGATAGTAAAATTAAAGAAAGAGGCACACATATTAAATTAACAGGTGAAGAATTATGGATATAGAATTGAAAGATGAATTATAGAGACTAAAAAGTGACAGAACCCAAAGGACTTCCAATGGGATTTATCTTATATTTATCTTATATTTGTCAAGTAGTCCCCTTGGCCTGTGTCTGTCAACACTGGCAAAGGCATACTAACCTCAACCCTATATATTCTGATATGACAGTGCTGGTAGATCTCCCTAGCAATTCTTAATCAATACACAAAGACCACAATTTTTGCTTGACATAAAGCCACTCAAACTTGATATCCCCCCCTGCCCCAGCTTTTCTATTAATAGCGCATCAAATTTCAGAGAAGAAAAAACGGCAATTCACCTCAGTGTCAGAAGTCCTCCAATTCACCAAGTCACTTTTTAGAAAATATAATAATGTAGTGTCAAAAGCAACAAATAAAAAAAAAGTAATCAAAATATGTTACAAGTTTTTATAGACTCAGATACATCTAAAAAGAGACTCAGAGAATCGGGGAACCGCAGGGTTAATTTCCTGTGAACGGATGTGCTGTAGATATGAGTCTTTGCATTCATAGACTACTTGCATCATAAGTAGACATATCCATCCTTAATGTTTTAGAGCTAAAAAGAACTATAAAATTCAAAACTAAT